AAAAGAATCTTATAACTGAAAGGATGCACACAGAATAGTGGTGAGAGGTTAGGCAAATGACTTCCCAGTCCTCATGAACAAACTCTCTACTTTCAAGGTAAAGAAAACTGAGGCCCAAAGGAAGAACTGGCCCAAGCCCATGTAGCTCATTAGCATCAATGACTTTTCCAGTGTTCTTTCCATTATACAATGTTGCCCTCCATCAAAAGGCAGTGAAATTTCTAATCCTCACCAAACCTTTTGTTTATACCTACTTGAAACCTTTATTTACGCATCCTTGAAGTTTACTTCAATAAAGAAGTGAAATTCAGTTAAGTCAGTGTTCAACTCTTATATCCTGAAAGACCCGCTCCTCCATAAAGCCTTCCCAGACCATTCATTCATTCATTATCAACCCTTATTTATTAAGTGTTTGACAAACAGGATATATGAGGGTACTTCAAAAAGTTCATGGAGGGCGCGGGGGATTAAAAAAAAAATTCATGGAAAAACAAAATTGAAAGATAATACGAATCTCTCCATGAACTTTTTGAAGTATATTCATATAAGCTGCATATCCCGTTGAAGTACATTAGAGTGGTGGTAAGAGATAATAACAAGTAAATATTTGTGGAAAGTGCTATAAAGGAGGCACAGGGTGCAGACCAGGGGAAAAGGGATGGTGGGGGTATTATTTCTGATGCAGTAGTCTGGACACCCTGATGAGGCAATATTTAAGTTGAAACCCAAGGATGAGGAGCCATCCATGCTAACATCCAAGGGAAAGAGACGTCCAGGCTAAAGCAAGGGCTATCAGGGAGGAGCCTGGCTTAACCACAGAACTCAAAGGATTAGATGAGTACTGTACTAAAAGATGAGGGCAGAGATAGACAGGAGACAGATTAAGAAGGATTCTGCCCATTTAAAGATTTTATTCCTTGAAAGGTTTTAAACAGGAAAATTATGAGCTCTCATTTAAGCTTTAAAAAATCACTGTGGCTGCTCTGTAGAAAATGGGTTAAAGAAGAGTGCAAGCAGGCAGTCCAGTAAGGCTTTGGCAGTCTTGTCAGTGCTACTGGAA